AATAATCTGGGCGTGGGGCGTCTGCATTTGAATGCTTGGAACTTAAAGCTCACATCCCACTCTTATAAGTTTAATATGCGAGCTCATGAACAAAACAATATGAACTGAAAAGGGCACCTACGGAGTTGAAGTAGTTAAGGTGCAAACGGAAATCTGTCGATCAGTAAACCAAAGAAGGCACTAATAACTTGGGGTAATTGAAGCGTTCGTTGGGCGCCTTCGGCGATGGGGGGGACATCTTGCACCTTCGCTTTTTCGACTTGCAAGTCCCTCTTTGGTGGAAACCTATTGACTCTTGTGAAGCAGAAGTAAGCTCGTCGAACCACCATGGTAAAACCTGTCAACAGTTGTAAGCTCACGAAAAGGCTCTTGAAATGGATTGAGACTTCGATGGGAAATAGCAAAAGTGCCAAATGTCTGCACCCCCGCGCCGAACTGCCGGAGTCCCTGTACAGAACTAGGATTACCGCAAAATAGACGAAGAATTTCGAACAAGCTTGAAAGAGGAAGTAACAGAATTTAACACCGCTCTTCACGGGCTATGGGACTATCACACTATTATTTTCACCAAGATTGCTGAGGATTTTTTACAAGTGCACCTTAAACTTCACTAACACTTCCTGCTCCAGAGCACTTGTCCCTGTGTCGAACAGAAGTCAGGTAATGTAAACTCACAGCTTTACCGGACTCTAGATATATAGCACGCTTGAATCGGCGAAAATCAGCGAAAAATTCCCTCCCTCTAGGCTGAACTCTAGCCTCTCCAAACAACTAAACTACGATCTCACTCTCTTTCTGTCATCCTCAGAGGTTTTGTTACCTAACTTCGACCAGTGGGCCACGCAGCAATAAATAACACAATGGGTGGGACCAGACCTCAGGTGACAGTGTAGTAGCCAGTAGGACCCAAAACACTGCCAGTTTTTGGAATGGGATTAAGGATCGGTGCTCATGAGCTTCAGTTGACGATAACAAAGATACCCTCTATACCCCGTTGAAAATACTTTTACCGTCTATACTCCGTTCAAAATCCTTTTTAATAACTACTGCTAGGCTAATAGTCTGGTAGCAATGAGTCTTAAAATTTGACAGCAGAGCCTCGGAGGTCAAAAATCAACTCGTGGGTATTGAAAATTCTCAATTAACCGCATTTCAGTATGGGTATGACATATACAAAGGTATCAGCAAATTAATCCTGTGGAGGTCTAATTTGATATGTAATGGCTGTTGGTCCAATTCTCGACGATTGTAGAGCGCTCTCAAGCAATTATACCCAAGACATATTTCAATTTCCTGGACGTCCCCAATTTTCCGCACCCGTGAAATTATTTAAATGAGGCTGAAATAGAATACATATGTGCTGCGCAAACCAACGAATTGCAGAACGATGTGGAGGGAGATATGACGGACCGGAAAAGAAAGAAAGACGCTCCCCTCTTAAAATGCTCTCAATTTATTTCTGCCCCATCATTTCATATCAACTTACACTTGGCTGCACTTTCGTAATGCTTGAAGATGGAATCTTGTGGAACTGAACGTCCGTGGACTTCTCGTGCGTCAAGTCATCCGCCTAGGGAGTGGCCACTTATTTTGTGGAGATAGATGTTTCAATCTATTCCCACCGGGCATACTGTTCATCGTCTTCTCGCGCACTTACGCTTCTGACAGCTCTTGTCATGAGCGCATGCTAATGAGCTCATGAGAAGCGATTACGATCTCTTAACACGTATTGTTCCCATCCTCATTGTCAGCTCTATTTAGTAGCGCTGACTTTGATTCCGCTTTCATTTACAAGCTGCTTACTGCTAACGCGCATTGATGGAGTGTTATGAAATTCTACTTCTCAAAACATTTTATTGGTACATTTTAATGCCAGGTACTGTGCAAGTGGCACGCCACTACCACTCGCGCGGTCCTGGGTTCCAATTCTGGGTCATCCGACTCAGGCCAGCCAAGCCTTCTACCCTTGGGGCACGTTAAATTGCTATCATATCCGTCTGGTAGGACACATCCCTCTATCGCATTCAATAAGCCACTACGATTTTGTAGTAGAATGCATGCCGCTCTCACAAAGGGATTGATCAATGGCGGAGACTTTATTCTTTATCCTTTTATTGTGCAATTATAAAAAATGGTCTTCATCCACGATTTGGATTTTTACATAATCCTTGCAAAATATACTTGTTATGCTGAGCTGGTGACGTAACGTTTTCAGCCCGGAAAGTGGTTCAAAGTCCGCCTGGACGGGTGAAGGTGCTTCCGAGAGCGACTGGGATCAAGGTGATTGAGGTGGTGTACGACCGGTCGCTGACCACCAAGAACCAGCTCGCCCTGAGGTTCTGGCTCGTCTCTATCAAACAACACTATATCAAAACAAAGAACACTTGCCTGCAACTTCTGAGGCCTTCAGAGCTTTTATAAACTTGCACTATAAATCACTGTTAGCAATGTAAACATCTTTGGCAATATTCGCCTCTACGACAGCATCGAGGATAAACGACTTTTGACTGTTGACAGTAAAACGTGCTTGTTCAGATCGGATGGAACGATGGTTCCATTTGAGCAGCATCGGCAGCAGCTTATTCCTCTCCTTCATGAATG